TTTACGCGGTAAATGCGCCACGAACATTCGCGAAAACGTTGAGGCGTGCGTAAAACTGTCTGTCAATGACCTCGTCTCCTGTTCCGCGCTACTCGGATACAAACATTGTCCCGGTTGGTTTGTTACGGTCATCCAGTCATCCAAGCTCGTCCAGGCATTGTCGCAGCGCCGGACAGAAGGAGACACCTGAGCGAGCATCGGCTGGCCTGAGGCACGCCGAGTGATGTACGGCGATGCAGCTCTATTACTTTCTTAGTCACTACCGCTAAGGACTCAGGTTTCTGGCGCGCCGTACGCCAAACAGGTGCGATGACTCTGGATACCGCAGAGCTCATGTTATACAGAGCAGTGGTCTAACGAACACTCTGGCGCTGTGCTCATGAATGATCAACACCGCCGCGGTTATACTGAAATCACCGTCAGGTACGTGCTCAGTAAACCCTCAGGAATACTGTCAGTGAGATTCAAGGAAAGGGATAGTATGGCCTTCCAACCTTGACCCGGGATTACGTAGTTTTGACTGAAATCAGTGCACAATCTGCAGCTTGTCCACCCCTGTTCATGTGCTTACCATCGCAGACGTGGCCTTGAACCCCTGCGTTCCATAGGAACTATAATGAAGAAAGACCTAGCGGTGCATATGCAGGCTAATCACGCATATCATCGTCAACGAAGCCGTACAGAACTGCGGTGACCGTACTTGATGATAGGTGAGCACGAGATTCACTATCATCTGATATGTTAGCTATGTGATGCCACCAACTTCGGACCGCCCACACATCAACGGCGTGGTGGCGATGGCGCTACTCGGGCGGTGGGTGCACACACCCCTACCATTTTATGACAGATACGCTGATTTAGAGATTGTTTTCCACATGTCATCACATACATGCTGTACGTTGGTTGTGCTTCTCGACGAGTCACTCAATGGGAATAAACAGTGGGCAAGTCTTAAGCCGAACTGGTGGTGACAGCGTTTCAATCCTGCTTACCTCCCCACACCCATTCCTCCACTCTGTGAGCACCTTAAGCATGCGACATGTTTCATGGCGTACGCCTTGGGTATGGACTCTGTTCGCGTCCTCTATTTGGCCGCTGCGCCCGTCCGCGGCAGAACTCCTTCCCGCCAGCATCCCTTTGGCCGTCCGTTCCCCATACATGAGCGCTTTCCTCACTAATAATGACAGTTCTCCTCCTATATCGCAAACACTGCCCGCGTTCTGGGGGATCCGGGTACGTGACCCGTTCCCCTGGTAGTCTTTAGTGTGGCTGACAGCATATATAAAGCAACCCCTTGGATGGGTGGGTAAGATCAAGGTGGATGGGAAAACGTTCTCTTGGATGGGCGGAGACGAGGCTCTCAATGCTAACGTCACCAAGATACAAATCACCCCTACGCGTTCCATCTTCGTGATGCGGGCCGGACGTATGAATATAACGGTCACCTTCTTGTCCCCAATCGAGGTACGAGGCTCACCCTTAGACAACGTTCCTGGCTACTCACTGTAGGATACTGTTGAAAAGCCATCAGATTGGGTGTTACAATCACTACCGTTCTCTTATGTGACCGTCGACCTGAACACCATTGATGGCAACAGCCACGAAGTGCAGCTTTACTCGGACATCAATAGAGGTATCGTACAATCGTTGACTGTTCACATAGAGACACAGTTAACCGCCATGCTCTACCCAGCCTGGGCGACCGGCGACGAGACCGGTTTTTGTCAGTTTGGTCAACAAGCCACGTCAAACAGTGTATATCATTTTGTCCAGTCTCCTGGGCTGAAGCCTGCTGATACCGAGATCAATGGGCAAGCAGAAGACGGCACCGCATATTATGCGATAGCCCAAGTATGTTCCTCGTTTCATCCGCGACTGCAAGATCTCTGACCCGACGTCAAGAGTCCAGGCCTCACATGGAGAATCGACTCGGATGTGGCGGTTCGAGGACAATTCCGGAGTACCGGGACGCTCGCGAACAACGCCAGCTACCTAGATAGTATCCAACAGTAAGCAATTAATAGTTATGTCTCGAGCGCATGATACTGAGTCGGGTCATATCACCACGACAGGCGCGCCGTGTTCGCCTTCGCAGTCAACCTAGGATCGGTACAGTCAACCTCCAGTCCGGTGACATGGACGGCGGGCTTTGTGCGGAATCCCTCTATTTTGTACACGGCGCCACCCGCCAATACGCAGCAACTACACCCATACTTTGTCACGAAGTACGGAAGTGATATCGGAAGAGCGGTGAGTCCCACACTGGCAATTGCACGCCCGCATTTCATACTGAAGCGGCCGCAGATCGACGACCTCATCACGGGTTACTCTAATGCCCTGTATAGGGCCTCAACTCTCGACTCGTCCCTTCTAGGGAATGCCTCCCTCATCTCTCCACAGTACGCTGACCTAGTGGCCATCTCGGCGCGCCAGACGTTGGCTTCCCTGGATATAGCAGTACCTGTCGACACGGAAGGAAACGCGAACACTTCCGAAGTGAGGATCTTCATGAATGACATCGCGGTATCAACATTGCCGGTTCCACCAGTCCGGTACGCAGCGCTCGAGATGCAGACAGCATGTCCCTCAGGTTAATATAATCTCCGGCACGTTCAAGACGTGTCAGCCCGGTAGATCGACTCTACGCGGCGATGCCGTTGTTTCTCTACGTGAACCCGTCATTCCTTGGATCTCTCCTCTCTCCTCTTCTGGACGCACAGGATGACTTAACTGGGATGGCGTATTCCGCTCAGGACCTCGGTCAGTGGTTTGAACTGATTATATGCACTCCGCTAAAACTCGCCGCAGGGCTCGCATACCCCGTGGTGTCCGGGACTCGTGGTCCCCACAACTCCAGCGTTGAACGTGAGTTGCAGAACACAGTTTATATACAGATTCACGCTGATGGGTGGCCCCAGAGACCGGTAGCATGCTGATCATGCTTTACGCCCATGCACGATTCTCCGGAGACGGCTCGTTGCTTGGCCAGCATGCAAGTTCCTTCTCCACAGGCCTGGTTTAATCTTGTCTAACGTATTGCATCCGATAGTACAACCTGGCGAAACGATGGGCGGACTACCTGGTAAGATCTACATTGACTCCCGACAAAGAGTGCGTATCGCCCCAACTCCGTTGGTTGATCTGGCGCAGGAGAAATGACGGCCCGCTCTCCAGGGATTACACATATGGTCTTCGTGCGAACATGTCCAATCTCGCGCTCAAGGGGATCATAGGGGTCAAGGCAATGGCTCGGATCAGCCAAGCGCTTGGTATGCAACTCGACGCGCAAAACTACAATGTATGTTTCATTTCGCAGCGCTTTCGGGTCCCTCATCGGCTGACGCTGAAAAGGCTCGAGCTGACGCATTGATGGCCTCCTGGGAGGCCCTCGCCATCTCTCGTGATCAGTCGCCCCACGCGGTCGCATCGTATGGCGACGACCCGAAGAATTCGTGGACGCTCTTGTACAACGCCTACGCTGATCACTTGCTCGGTACCGGCCTGGTCAGTCAAAAGGTGTGTCAAGCGTCCAATGCTGGCAGGCCTTATCCGTGAGTGCTGACACTGCCGATAGTTGACGCGGGACCAGACCTCGTACTACAGGGCATTAGTAAACCAATGTAATCCTGCCGTTTACTACCCTTAATGGCACGAGTTGACGATAATGGGAAGCTTCACCCTACGGCACGCTAGTATCAAACCCGGCGGACCCGAACGACGGCGATCCTCCGGTCAATGCCGGTAAGTTCAAGTTCTCAAACAGTCTTCGATGATGACGGTGACAGTAGAACGTCGACAGCGTGGACCCTCTTCACCGCTGCTACCGTATCTGACGAAGACGTCCGTGATAGTTTGATCCAACAGGTATGGAACGCAGCGTCGTTCAAAGGAGTGGGTCCTCCGTTTTCCATTGAGTACGACGTCTCGTCGGACGGCCTAACCAGCCAAATATACTCTGGCGGGTACGTCTCAAAATACTCCTGCGCGCTTTTCAGGCACTCATGGTTTTGCAGACCTGCCGCTGGAGGATTGTTTTCCCTCTTAGCCTTGCAGTAGGCCTGGTTCGCCATTGTCGTGGACGTCGCTCATCGATCCGTTGTCTCGTCAGCCTGCCTAACAAGACCATCGCCGTTCCTCAGCCGTTTGTAACGACAAACTCCACGGATACACCTAGTAACGTTCCCGGAGCGGATACTCGATCGAGGTCAGGCAAGCTGGCCGGCGCCGTCGTGGGCGGTGATTTGGGCGGCGTTGCCTTCCTCGGGGTTTTCGCCTGCTGCGTGCTACTCCTGCGGCGTCGACGGAGTCACAGTTTCTACGATGACAAAGACGTCGCTCTGATCGCACAGGAGTGGGAAATACCAACACCATTCTTCGTGACCCCTCGCGACACACACAACTCCCCACCCCAAGCAGCCCAGAGCGACGCGGACCTTGCGAAGCCACCACCCGCCCAGCAGGCGGTATCCCCGAATGCTAACATTCCTTCGAACGAAGTGGCTCTACTTCCCAGGATACCTTCCGTAACTCCGGTCAAACGTTCCCCCGCCCCGGACCACGTTGTTCCATCCTCTCCGCCTCCCGCAACTCCACCGCCCCCAGGCCTGGGATCGTCAACGCCTCCCGACGGTCAACAGCCATCTGCTCCGGTAGGCCGCTCTCTCACCGACACGCGCGCAACGGGCGATTTGGTCGTCCTACACAGGACCGAGGTGCTCGGAATGCAAGCAGAGATGGAGAATCTGCGGGAGGAGATGCGGCAGATGTTGGAGGACAGGCTGGACGAACCGTTGCCGGAGTACACTAGCACGTTCGGCTCCTGAGGGGCATCAGCCTGTAGATGATGGGTAGCTCGAAGGTGAGCTGGGGTTCCAAGTATGTTTTCTTTCGTCCCGGATCCGTACTATCTCGCGTGTGCTTCTCATGTCGAGGTCGGTGGTGTACTGGAGTGTTCTACAGAGCATGGACCGTGAGTGGCTGACTCTTGGTCAAACGACAAGACACTGATGGTGAAACGGTATCATGCTTGCCTTCCACTTCCGAGTAACAGGGTGACAGCAAGCGGCGCGGGTTCGACTCCCGCTCAGTGTATTTTGATGAAATTCATATCACCAACGGTCAATGCAACGCGCCAGTCGGTCCAACTTTGTGAACGTGGCATTTTCTTGAGGAGATAGTGAGAGGCATATACTACGAGGAAGAATTGGTACTACGGCTATCCAACTCGCACTGTAACGCCTGCACTTCCTCCTTGAGCTCCTGCACCTCCGTTTTGCGATTGGCCACGATCTGCTCCAACCCCGAACAAGCACTTTCTGCAACGACGGTAACGTGCTTATCCATTGAGGAAGTGAGAGCAGTCTGAAGGGCCGATCAGCAATGCCCACAATACGACATACGTTATCAAAACTGACCTTCAGGTCCCTCTCGAGACCCTCCGTGACGCGATCCCAGTCCTTCCACCACCGCTTCCGCGCCCTGTCCCACCGCGAGACCGCCCAACGCACGCCAAGCACACCCCCGAGCATGCCCACGCCCAGCGCGGTCTCCGCGCCCATCCCAACGTTGAAGAACCCGCCGGCGAGGCCGAGGTCGCTCGCCCACCCCGCCCACGCGACGCCGAACCCGCCGAGAACGCTGCCGCTCATCGTGAGCACGGCGCGCTGCGCGAAGGCGTGCAAGCGCTCGGTGGGGAAGCCGAGCTGGCTTTGCCGGGCGTGCAGGGGCGAGGTGAGTACGCTGGCGGTGAGGGGGTACGAGGGCGAGGCGACGATGCGCTCCAGGCTGTTCTGCAGAACGTGTGAGTGGTATGGCGAGGATTGGGGGAATGAGCGGCAGAGAGCCGCCGCGGAGTCTTTGAACGAGGTTTGGAGAGCGGCCAGCCGGCCAGCATGGAAGACGAGCTGATGTGCGATGTCAGCTATGGACGAAGAGTTAGGCTGTATTTGTCATGGGGGTAACCCACCTTGCGCTCCAGATCTCTACACCACGCTCTGTCAACCGCAGCTGTGACAACTTCGCGGATGTCATCTACACGCCAGAAGAGTTTGTACCACTGCAGGGCATCCATGGTGACCTTAACGCTCTTCCGCGCCTGGCCGACGGCCTTCGCAATCTCGTCTCCGTCCTTCTCCGGAGCACCGAATACCTCCCGCTGAACTTTTGCTCTCGCTTCCTCCATCTGTCCGCGCAGGGTGCTCGTGCCAGTTAGCACATTGTCCGCTTCGAGTTCCTCGTGCCTGAGCACGGTCCGGCAAACGAGAAGTGCATCCTTGACGAGGGCACGGCCGGTCTGAGTGTGCACGGCTACCACACGAGATGACTCGGGCAGCGTAGAACTGTCTCCCAGTGCACCAGAGATGATATCCTTGACAGCATGAGTGACACTGGAGACGTTGGACCCCGTGACGTCGTCCTGGTACCTCTGCACGGAGAGAGGCGAAGCCGGACTCTGGCCAAGATGCGCCAAGCCTTGTAACGCGCGGGCGGGGTCTACGTAGACTATTCGGAGGTTAGCATGGAGGGCGAGCGCCTTCACATGAGGAGTTTGGGCGGCCGCGGACGGGTGAGTTGGTGATGGCGAGGATACTGCCAGGACAGTATGTTCTCGAGAGACGGGGAGTGTAGGGCTGGTCGACACAGGTAGGATAGCGGGTAAAGGAGTGGAGGCGGGATTGCACAATATGACAGGGATATCGGCTGTAAAGAGCGCTCTTGATGTCTCAGAGGAGGAAGAGGGCTTGTGTTCCGACACCTCTATTGGTACGCCGAAGTGCTGTAGCCACGAAGACTGGACGTGGACAACATCTCCTTCAGTTATCGAGGTACCATACCTAATGCAGCTTCAGTACACAGCAAATCAACTCATCCTAGGTGTGGGCTCACTGGAGCTTCACAGAACGGCTCCCTTCTGGACGTCCCTCCCATCGTGAGTGAAGAGCCTTCTTCTGGTCGTCGGAAACAAACGGATCCTCCAGGAGCGCCGTGACCAGATCTCCTGCACTAGAGAACTCGTCTACGCCGTATACTGGATGCGTTGCCGAACGTAAGCGTCATGCACACGTAGCGTGGATTTTAATGGCATATTGGAAGCCACTCACCAGCCACCCGGACTCTATCCTTCCCCTTCTCCGGCGAAAGCGACAAGTCCTCGTGCACCTTCGCTAGGACATCCTCCCAGAACTGTAACGACTCGTGTTCCGGAGCATCGCTCGCACTTGACCTCAAGTCAGGCAGAATACGGGGGAGGAGCGCGGTAGTCTTGTGCAAGACGGTCAATGTGTGTGCCCGCCGTTCTTCCAGCTTCGCGGCAGTGCTCCCTGCTGTGGTGGAGAGAGCTGCCCGTCGCACGCCCGTTCCCGCCCTTCGACATCCCGCGACCTTGCGCACGGCACATCGTGCAATTTGGCCAGACCTCACGCTATGAATGTGTGCAGAAGAGCGTAGCAGGCCCGAGGTGGAGGCCAGACATGTCGGCATGGAGGAGAGTCGCGATCATAGCGGGAGACGGGCCGGCTGCACGCGCGACTCGTTCCGCCGACCCGGTCCGTACGCCACAGTTGCCACAACACGCAATACTGGGGCCCCCACTTCCACGCTTGTCGAGAAATGAGAGGTCTCGAGACAAGCGATATATAGCTACAGGTATTACGTGCGAGTGCACCGGTACAATCAATAACTTATTCCCCCGACACAACAATCTTCGGTGGAGGCGGAGGGGGGCCTGCCCGACTGCGCGGCTCGTCGTCGTCCTCACTTTCGTCCCCAATGTCAAACAGCTCCTCCCGCTCGTCCCATACATCCGCAATGCGCACAGATTTCTGCGCAGCGGGCCCTTTATTGGGCTTTGCAGGGGTGCCTGGTGTACGAGGCGTGCGTGGCTCGTAGTGTAGAGGGAGTAGTTGAGTCCCGTCTATGTCCTCTTCTTCCTCGTCTTCTGACAAGCCATCGGCGCCGAGAGGCTGATACAATCGAGAAATCTGCTCGAGGATATGGGTCAAGGTAAGAAAAAATAGCAACTTGGATGACTGTACCTCTCGTCTGTGTCTGTAGTATCGCTCAAGGTGATAGGCGACGTATAGTCCGAGCGTTGAGCCCAGGAGGTTAGCCTGAACAAACGGTGTATCAACGGTGAGATATCCGATCAAGGGAACACGGCAATACTGACCATGATGTCCCCAAGCTGGAACTCCTTGTACTATTCACTGCCTGAGTCAACAGTGCAGGTGCTAGAAGCGGGAGACGTACCGGTAACATGGACTGGACAATTTCGCTTATGACACCGCCAAAGAAGAAGCACACAATTCCAGAAATGATCAAGGGAGCGCTTCTCCAGATCCATATACGCCTCGCTTCTCTGACGTAGTTGGAAGTGAGCAGGACGCCTTGGGGAACACTGGGAGTACGACTCACTCTTCTACGTCGAATATGAAGTAGAACACTCCTGTAGCGATGCCCATGCAAAGAAAGTGGAGCAGCTTGTCGTTGATGGGGAGCGCATGAGAGAAGTTTGTGAACCCAAGCAGAGCTAGGGTGAGGAGGATGAGGCTCGTGAACACTACGAACCACTGCACGAGTACGAGCGCGTCAGGATGGGTTCATATTCTGTTACAAGGTTCGTACCGGCCGAAAACGTATGGGCATGTCGTATTTAGGTATCCGAAAGTGGTATGAACGCATGATCGACTTGTTCAGCCTCAGTATGGCCTTGCGGGATCGGCGAGCAGTACGCGTCCATAGCGGATCTGGGTCCGAATCCGAGGAGTCCGGCAGCCTAGGCATTTGGTGGTTTCAGTACGTTCTAGTCCAGCCCCAAGTAGTCAGAGTAGATGCAGCTGTTCAGCAGCAGACAGCCAGCAGCTGGGAGAAGGAACGAGTGGTAGTAGACCGGGAGGCAGTGGTGGCGGCAGCCTGATCGGACGCTTCGGGCTCGGACGTGGGGATTACTGGGAGCAATTACGTGGATAAGTCTAAACATGATTGACTAACCGACACTTCAAGTTATCCGCTCCAAACTTGGCGGCGCTTGAGCGGCTCGCACGGCTCGTGATTGCTCTCCTCCGTCCAGAACGGACTCCGCGCGGAGAGCCATTGGCATGAACTCTCGGCGAGCCATGGCTATATCCTCTCGCTGGATGACTTCCTTCGTTCCCATCTCATCACTTCATCAGTGCTCTACATGGCCTCTTCAGACACTGTAGACATTCAAGCCGCGCTTGCAGAGTTCTCGACCTGCGAGATCTCGGATGCGTTGATCAAGCTGGGCAGCCCTCACGGCGGCCATCTCCCGGACATCCACATGCTGTCCCCCGCAGATAGCACAATTCGCCTCTGTGGTCCCGCGTATACGGTCCAGATGGTGCTGGGGTCAGACACGTCCGCACCCAAGCCAGCCGCGCACTTTGTGGACACCGCGCCCACGGGCGCGGTGGTAGTGATCAACGCCCCGCCTCGTTCAGTAACATTCCTCGATCATCTCCAAGTTAGCTTTCACTCATGCAGAAGTTACTCCGTTCATGCTGTACAGGAGTTAAGAATGCCGTATGGGGCGGCTTGATGACCGCCGGGGCCCAGTCCCGTGGGGCGCGCGGGGTAATCATCTCCGGTCGCTGCAGGGATCTCGCTGAGCACCGGGCGGCGTCCTTCCCCGTATTCGCGAGGGGGCACTCCACGCTCGGACAGTCGCCTTTCACTAAGCCCTCCGAGGTGAACATACCAATCACCATCCGTGCCGCCGATGTGTCCGAAGAGGACTTCCCGGCTGTACGCGTCTCCCCAGGAGACTGGATGGTCGCTGACGAGGACGGCGTCGTTTGCGTGCCAACGGAGCTGGCAAAGGAGGTGATCGCCTTGGCTGCAAAGGGAAGAGAGGTCGACGAGAGATGCATGCAGGATATCAGGGCGGGTAAGGGCGTCCAGGAGACTTTCAAGAAGCACCGAGGAAAGTGAACATGTTCTGAATGTACTGCACCTCATCTCGACCGTTCGAAGAGACAAAGATTGACACACAGGAGGAGTCAGCCGATGCAGAAATATGGACAGCGGCTTACGTCCATTGTCAAGAGCTCAACGCGTACTACGGCAACCGAGTGATCATCCAATACTCCAAAGAAGTCTGAGGTGCAATGGATGAAAGCGACAAAAAGCATACGCAAAAAGCTGCTCGGAGTGAGGATCGAACTCACGACCTCAGGATTACCCACCATCGCGGTGGTCATACGAAAGTATGAGACCTGCGCTCTAACCAACTGAGCCATCCAAGCCCTGATGGCCTCTTTATACATTCATTTATGGCCGCTCAGGGGTGGCCCGTATATAATGTCCCCTTCGCATGTGCCACCTCCGATCGCGACTCACAACTCTTTTCACAGGCAGCATCTTTTATGACGTTCTTTATCTGCGCTCATGCACTTAATCCGAACTTGAGTACGAACAATGAGTTGGGATTAGAGCGCCACTCTGCTAACGGTCGTTGTGCGCTCAGTCAATCAGAGCTTCGACGTTCGACTGTGGGCAGTACTTGATGTTCTTTGGTTCGGTTCACCGTCAGCCAACTGCTGCCGTTAGAGAGCACTGAAGGACTCGAATTCATATGTGGAGGGACCGCGGCATCGCTATTACAAGAGATCACAGGATTCGAACGACTCAGATGCCTGAAAGCGCGGTCATTTCCTAGCCTTTTTGCCTTTCCCTCCTTTCTCTTCCTCCCGACTACGTTTCTTGGCCCCTCCACTCACCGCGGCGAGTTTTGTACGCGCGTCGTTCAGGCCTCCCTGCAGAATGCGCTTCTCGCCTAGTCGGACGACGATAGCATTCTTCTTGTTCAGGGAGAGCTGGTCGACGTTTTCTGGTGCGAGTAGCTTCTCGTCCTCCTGTTTCGGACATATTATTATGCTGTGTGCAAATGCACGACACCAGCACGCGACGCACCTCTATCGTGGTAGGATACTCCTGCAGCCTCGTCTCGAGGACGGTGACGGCGACTGCGAGTACATCTTTGTCCACCTTGGGCTTCGGGAGTTTGCTCTTCTTTGCTGTCTTCTCCCACTCATCCTTGGGGAGCAACAGCAAGCGTGCGAACGAAATGAGCTCTCCGGGGAGCTCGCAGTCGGTATGCATCACGAACACGCTGGTAACGATGAGCATCGGGCACTCATCACACAACAGCGGGTAACACATACTCGTCATCGGCTTCTTCAAGCCACCAATCGACTCGCTCTTGGAGGTCGTACTTGACCTTCTTCGCGGTTGCCGTCACAACTAGGTCGGCACGAATCTCTACGACATCGCCCGGGTTGCCCAGCCCGGAGAGCGGAGGCCTTAGGGGAACGAGATCGACGTGACCGTACCGTCGAAGGAGGTCCGAGTTCGGTGGGTCGCCATAGGTATTCCACTGAGCGGTGGCATTAAAAAGAGGTTCGCAAAGAGACGTAAATGTACTGACGATCTGTTCCCCAGCCTTGATGGGCTTGGTAGAGACCATCTTCAGTACTCGTTCCTCGTAGAAAAGCTTCGCCTACGAGTATCAGGTCAGTAAATACATGGCAGGAAAACAGCGACGTAGAACTCGAGAATCCTCACATTCTCGGACTCGAAACGAGCATTGAGCATGTCGGCCATGGGCACCATGGCGACGTCCGCAGGATCCTCCCCGTCCTCGTCCTCATCCTCGTCGTCTTCCACTTCCAGCACTTCTGGGCCGTCGCTTCCTTCCGGCGGGGCTGTCTCCGCGGTCTGTTCCCCCGCTTCGGTTGCCTCCTGCGGATCGACATCCATGGCGCTGGTATCTCCCGCATTGTCAGCCTCTTCGTCCTCGACCTCGTCTTCGGCGTGTTCTCCCTTCCATTGTTCAACGTGGAAGCTACGTGAGAGGATGCGACTGCCCATGAGGTGATAGCGCTCGAGCGAGAAGTATTGTGAGGATTTCTCTTCCGGGAAGAGATCTGGACGACTCTGAAACGGGTGTCATTGAAGGTACAGAGGAAGGCAAAATCTGGTATCATTGCCTTGATAGCGGGAACGACTTTGTCGTGATAGTCACGTTCCGCCTCGTCTCGGCCTATTTTGTCTGCGATTACATATATGAGAACCTGAGAAGCTGTATAATCCAGATGAAGACAGACCTACCACGGCAGTGCCCTGCAGCTCCTGCAAGTCTTCTTCACCCCAAAACATGGGCGTATCGAACTGATTCGGCAAGGCAGCTATTCGAAAGTTCGCTTCTCGCCATCCGCGGAGCAGTAAACTCAGACTTACCAAGATAAGCGGACCATTTCGAATCCGGACCCTTCGACTCTTCCCACATCATACAGAGAATGAGGCCAGCCCAGCCTTCATGCAGACGATGCTCCTTCCAAGCCTGTCCCATCAATGCCGGCAGGGAGGAAGTTCTTGTCGACAACGTAAGGTCGCGCGGGATGGTGAAAAGCGTGTGGTCCTCCTAAGGCGACCGGGCTCAATCTCAATGTAGTAATACGGTCAAAGCCGGCACGTACGGGAATGTCCTGCAATGCGACAGCTCCGCGTCCATGGCCGGGGATCTCCACTATCCCGACCTTCTCGTAGTCCAGTATCCCATGCTGTGATTCGAACCAAGTCACAAAATCAGAGGCCACAGACCCTGCCATACTGCGTCGACCCAGGAGGTGTTGATCCGAATCCAAGAATGAGGGGCAGGAACGCCAGGCGTTTTCTGCTGATCGGAGAAACTGGACACAGCCACCACGTGTGGTCCATCACCCTCGTGGGAGGACTCAGTTCATGCAGAAAAGGCAGGTGCTGTACTTTGACGAAAACCGCCACCACTGCATAGACTGTCGCACAAGTGCAAGTGTCGAGTAGCAACGCGAGGTAACGGCCGGAACCGTAGGGGTCTTTCTATATATTCTTTTTGACCGACCATAATGATTATTTCTGCAGAACGCCTCAATGCCTCTCAAACGTGCGCCTTGTCAAGTGTGTGCCGCAGCGGAATCGAAATATACGTGCGCCAAGTGTGCCATCGTTTAGTGCGTTGTTCCAATGCCTCTTTTGCCGCTGAGCGTGACTATTGAGACGCTTTCTCAATCTAGTTGCTCTGTGGCCTGCTACAAGAGTCACCAAAGTGCGCGCCCGGTCCCTCCAGAACGTCTTACAACTGCGCTGATACGCAAAACCAGCATCGTGTTCAAACAACCAGGCAACCGCTCGGACCGTGTCAGCATCCACTGCACCATTGGTTGAACAACCACCCGACGGCGCAGAATTACGCCATGGTTAGTATGCATTGACTCCTTGCGTGCGTGAAGAAAGCTACACCATCAGTAGATGCGGGCCACAACACCGTCGCCGGGCCTCCACAGGACGGGCCTGACGGAAGTGCTGCAACTCTGGAGCCAGACAAGCCCCTGAGGTCGTTGGCGTCGCTCAAGTGGCCTTACGTCCCGGAGGAGTCTGCATTCCCCGACCCATTGAAGCGCGACGACCCAAAGCCGCTCCAGCTACCTCAGTACGAAGCGATCGGTAGGAAAAGGTCTATCCGACGAGGAAACACCCGCTCACAGGTTTTTCAGCCACTTCTCCCGCTATACGCAGGGTTATCGCCTCGAACCCCCGGCTGCGGGAAATCCTGCGGTCAATCGACGCACTCCGAGGCGAGGAGCGAGAGCTTGCATTGCACGAAGCGTTGGGCATCGGCGAGTCACGGGGAAAGATTCTACTTGGCCGAGAGAGCGAAGAGGACAGGGCAGCCCTCCGGGAACTTGCGGAGGCCGTAGAAGGTGCTGTGCGGGGCGGCAAACAAGGTGTCCTCGGCCTGGACTGGGGGGACTAGTCACGGGTCGCGTTGAGTTGTTGACGCACACGCGCAAAGATCGGGGCAAATATGTATTACAAATGTACTAGGATCGATACAGACAGCACAGCGCGAGAGGAAACCAAATATGTGGGAGATATCAACGAAAGCAAATCACGACATGTCCTCGTCAGAGTCCGATATGACCTCCTTGCTTTTACTGTGTTCCAAGGTATCAGTATATATGACATAACCTCGGGAGGTCGAGACTCACTATTGCTTTTTGCGGGGAGCGGCGGCCGTCTCTTCATCGTCATCGTCATCGCGGACGGCCCTCTTCTTCGTACGCTGCAACAACAGCACGGGATCAGCTCACCTCAACGTGACACCCACGGGCACGCACCTTCCGAGGCTTCTGGTCCTCATCCTCCCCGCTGAAGATTGCAGCGTCCTCTTCCTCCGGAAGCTCACCACCCTCTTCCGCCGACTTCTTGAGCTTTGCGCGGCGCTTCTTCTTATGCTCCCCGCCAGCACCCTCATCCCCGCTGACGTTCTCCGACCGCTTCCCACGTTTCGCCTTCTTCGCCTGCTTCTCGCGCTCTTCGTCGCTCTCCAGCCGCTTGATGTCCCGCGACCACTCGAGCGCCTGCTCGCGCGCACGCCGGCGCTCCTCCGCGAGCTTCTCTGCCTCGATGCGCTGCTGCTCCAGGCGGGCACGCTGGGAACGGACGTCAGCACCGCTCCAAGGGGTGGGAGGGAATGGAGGCACGGCGCCCGAGACGCACCTCTGCAGCGTCCTGCCGCTCCTTCTCTTCTTGCCGGCGCTGCCGCGCGGCCTCGATCTTGGCCTGCGCTTCGGCTTCCCACTGGCGCTGCGTCGCAAGGTGCTCTTCACACCTCCTGAGCATGCTCTCGCCGTACTTCCGCCGCTGGTCCGCAATGTCTCGACTGTACGGAACCTGGGGAGACCTGTCGGCCGCCAGGGAAGCAAAGAGCCTGTGCAGAATGTCATGCATGAGTGAATGTGCACGGACATGCGGGGAAGTGAGGCATACTTCTGGCCATTGTTCGCCTGTTCGATGGCCCGTTGTAGGTCCTTGAGAGAACGCTTCGCGGCGGGCACGGACATTAGCAACTCGGCGGCCTTCTGCTGAATCATCGCAATGTTGTAGAGAGTGGCCTTATCCCATGGGTGCAGATGGAGAGCCTGCAAGCTAGGTTGAGGCGACCTCGATGGCATCCAGAACATGCCCGACTCACCTTCTGTGCGTACTGAAGGGCGGTGTTCATCGCGCTGAACGACTGGTCCTTGTTCGCCTTCGCATACCACGCCCTACACAGGCACAATAGAACGGGGACGTTCTGGTTGCTGTAGAACCGCTTCGAGGCCGTCTCATACTGCACGCCCCCGTCAGCCGACTCGTCACTATGCCCGTCAGGCCACGATTCTCGACCACTCACGCTCTCGATCGCACGATCAAACTCGTCTCG